AAAATATTCGTTCGATACACCTAAAAGTGCTTCAATTTCAAATCGTGGATAAACTCTGCCTAAGGGTAAAACTACAAATTTTTATACACTGTGCCTGTTGTCTTATATATGGTAATGTTATTATTATTGAGGCATGCACGGTCCTATATTAGTATGGCGCTTTGAGGCCGTGGGTGCTATATGAGAGTGGCAGTAAAATCCTGCACTATTGGGTGTGACAAGAACAGCCCAAAAGTTGTTTGTGGGTGGTGCTGCCTTCTCCCTAGTCTATCAATTGAAAATTATGAACAGTTAAGCCCCATAGGCTTAGAACATCTTTGTGCGAAATTTAACAAACAAACAAACTATTACTTCTGGTTTCTTTGCTACATCAAACTTCATGAATTTAGGGGTGGTCTGTATACTTAATATTTTATTGATATTGATATCATTAGCAGTGAAGTACTATGAAGCATATTGGGTTTCAAAAAAATTAATATTGTATGTTTCATCGTGTAAATTAGAATAAGTGCTTACAAAACAGTAATCACGGTTGAGTTTGGTATATTAAAACCATTTCTAACCAGGTGGTTGCAGTTCATGTCACCACGTCCAGCCATGTTCTATGTGATGACAGTTCATCTTGCCAATAACTCTGCAGCATGATTTCTATTGCAAAAGGCTCATATGTATTGCTGTCATGTCCAAATCATACCACTCGTCCTAAAAAGTTTCCATAATCTATCAAGTGTATGAGGATGACGATCTCCCAGTGCCGATTTCACAAAAATCCATAGGTGCTGTGTACAGCTACTTGACCAGTATGTCCTTATATGGAATAGTATGAATATTTATTTCACTCTTTGCTATGCGATGGTTGAACAGGAGGCATCACTGGAAGCCTTATCTTGGTGAATCTATAGCCTATTGCCGTCATTTCAGTAAAGAAAGGCAGTATTTCAGTGTACTGCAAAGGATTCAGAACATTGGATTGATGTTAAGTAGAATTCAATTTGAACATTGTATCCACTCTTGTGATCCCTAGTTTGTCTCTGGCACAATATCCATCGGTGATAATGAATTTCTTAGAAAAAGTTTCGTGCAAGTTGTCTTACACTTTTGAAAAATGTTTTCTCCTATTCAGTGGTAGAAAATGGCACAAGATAAGTTACAGTTATTAAGTTATACATACCCTTCGTTTAGTGTCACAGCATGATGCGATTCACACCCCTCACGGTAGGTATCGTTTAGTGTCACTACATGATACAATTCACTCCCCCCCCCTCAGGCTAGGTACTGTTTAGTGTCACTGTATGATGTGATTCACCCCTCCTAGGTTAGGTATCATTTAATGTCACTACATGATGTGATTAACCCCCTCAGGTTACGTATCCCTTAGTTTCACTGCATGATGTGATCCCCCCTCAGGTTACGTATCGCTTAGTTTCACTGCATGATGTGATCCCCCCTCAGGTTAGGTATCGTTCATACAGTTTTTGTGTAAACAGCTTATGACCACGTGACTCGTGTCGCTCTTCCAGACGGAAATCTCCCTTGATTATGTTGTTTGGAGCAGTGGATGGCTTTTGACCTGCTACGTGATCCTGTACTTTGCTTACCATGGCAAATATTACAGGTTTCTTTATCTATGGTCCTGGTGCTCCAAGTTGATCCATCTTTCTTTGTTTTTTAATGCCATTAAGTACAAGAGATATCACCATCTTGGAAGTTCTAAATCCTTGGTTATGATCTGAGTATTTTGCTGTTACATACTCTTCCCAAAAGTAAGTAATATTCGGTGACATCTGTAACGAATTTATTATATATTTTTATTTGAATATCAACGTTTGTTTAGATTAAGTTTATATTTTAAAACATGCGTAGCTTATAGTGTTAAATATGTATTGCGAAACTCCCGCCTATTCTCCAAAGCTGTAGAAGATTCTTGAGAGTAAGAATCAACAATATATATGTATATACTTAAACGTTTAAATGTAGCTCAATATTGTTACGTAAGACTGAATTTTGTAGAAAACCTTTCC